CCCCCCCCCCCCCGGCTTAGTTTAAAGTCTTCCGGACGAAGCTCGCTAGAGCATCTCCAAAGGACCTTTTCCCCATCCTCGTGAGATGTAACCCGTCCCTTGCCAGAAGTCCATTGGCAAGAAACCGAGTGCCGTGGTCAAGAAACCCGAAGTGTTCCTTCTGGCACCACACCCTAAGCCAGTCATTCACCTCAGAGGCCCTTCTGTCCCTTCCTGGCCCAAACCCCCAGACAGGTAAGATTGACGAGAAGCCACTTGGGCCTTCAGCTCCCTGAGTTTCTTCCCCAAGGCCTCAAAGTCCCTGGTGGTCCCAACCATACCCTGCCTGGCCACATCGTTTGTGCCCACATGGATCACCAGGAGCGGCTGGTGACCCCCGGAGCAAACAAGACGCTCCACTCTGTCCATCACATGCCGGATGCGTGCACCCGGCAGGCAGCAAACCTCCCTTGTCTCCAGGTTGGGGCGGCACACTGCCACCTCAGTGCCCCTCAGCAGGGAGTCCCCAACAACAATCACCCACCGCCGTACCTTCCCGGTGCTGGTGGGCAGCTGTGCCCTGGCCCTCGCCTCTCCTGCAGCGGCCCCCTTGCCGCCTGACATCTCAGGCTGGGGGTCCTGCTGGTCCCCCGAGGCCTCATCAGCCCCAGCCTTCCCAAGTGGAGAGAAGCTGTTTCCCAGCTCCAGATTGGTGCCAGGGGAAGGAGGAGGCCCTGCTGGCCTCCTCCTCCTGTGGGTGACATACCTCCATGTCTCCGCAGCTGCTCCTCCCATAGCCTCTCCCTCAACCCTCTGTCCATAGCGGGGCTGCTCCCGGCGGGCCTGGAGAGCTCTCTCAGCCCTCAGGCACCTCACCTCTTCTAGCAGGGTCACCATCTTGCACCTAGGGCAAGTGTATCCCTGCCTCTCCTGGGGGAGAAGGGCGAACATGTCGCTGCTGTCGCAGCGGACAGCAACACCCGTGACTCCCGCCAAGGCCATCTCCTGGTCTGCCATTGGGATCCCTTCCGAGCCCCTACCTTGGTCCCCTGCCTTGTCTGTCCTGCAGTTCCTCTCACTCACCCAGTTCTCACAGACAAAAACCCACTTGCACACACACACACAAGGATAAAATAAACTTAAATTGGAAGAAAAACAAAGCACAAACAAACAAACAAACAAACAATCAAACCTCTGTGTCTCAGGGAAGGGAGTCTCCGGACAGCCCAGGCCGCAGCCAAGGGACACAGACAAGGGACGAGGCCCCGCCCCCTGCTTCCTCCTGGCCCCTCTGGCCCCGCCCCCTTCCTCTCTGCTGCTCCCGGCCCTCTGCTCCGCTGCCCAGCTCCTACCTTGCCTTCTCCAGTCCCCTGGCCACTCAGCGCTCTCTCCCAGCCTCTGCTGCTCTGCTGCTCTGTCAAGAGGCCAGAGCCAAAAAGTTACTCATATATTCACATTTCAAATAATGTCAAATTTTTTTGGGACACCCTGTATTTTTGCTTGGACTGGCTGTGAGTTGTTTTTTCTAAACTAAAACCTCAGTATTCAGGTTTTATTGCAGTGTTGGCACTTTGCGATAAATAAGTGGGTTTTGGGTTGCAGTTTGGGCACTCGGTCTCTAAAAGGTTCACCATCACTGACTTAGGATGTCTCTTCCAGAAGTTGTTCATGAAGGAAATTCGAATTCTAAAATGCAGATAGGGTTGTATTCAATATTAGTCTAGAGTACTCCCCTTGAAATCAATGGGGTTTAAATTAAATACTGGATACTCCCAGAATGAATGCTCTAGACTAGAGCAAATGAATATTCCCTTCTTTTACATACCTTTTTTATAATAAGTTTTGTTCAAAATTATAACCCTAAAACAAAGAAAAACTAAAAACATCAATCAATCAACATCAATCATCAAAAACATTGGGCCTGCTGGGTCAGCCCCCACATTTTTTTCCATTTATGATAACTTAGAAACATATTTAAATCTATACGAAGTCCCGTTTTTCTAGTCAATAATAAAAAGAGTCCCAAGTTTGATAGAATTTTTTACATCCAGTTTTTCTAATCTTGGTCTTCCATGCCCCAACCCCATACATTTATTTTGTTTTTTGCAACTTTAAAATGTTTTATTGGAGGGCAATACAGGGGGAAAAGGCAATAGAGTACCTCCCACCTAAGAACTGATGTTCTCATACGTGCTCTTTGTGCACCAAAGAACAATCAGATGCCACCCCCAAAAACAAGGCATTTGCAAGATGAACATGCCATTTGCAGAAATCTATGATTACAAAAGTTTCTGTGTTGAAATTCTGGCATATGATGTCACAAATGGAAGACTGTATGTTTTTTCTGACAGCTGAAGGAGACATGATAAGAGGTAGTGTTTCTCGGGTGTTATCTCTGGTAAAACAGGTTTGAAGCACTTTTTTTAAAGACCTGCAAAATGTGCTTACTGGAGACAGCAATGTTTTCCAGAAGCAGCCATTTCTATTTCATACTCCACTGAACTCTGAAAAAGTCCCAATTGTCTTCAGCTGCAAAATAAAACTAAAAGGTTGCCTAACACACTTTTACCTGACATATTTCACTGTGTCGTAACAGGTCTTCTTTGTCGAATCCATCTGTGATGATCCACACATCATTGAAGAGAACATTAAGGTAAGGTATTTGCCCCAGGATACCTTTTTGCTCCAGATCAGCTCCTTGGCAGTGTTCCATCCCAAGGAAAATACCAGGGATCCATCTGGTCTGATGCCATATCAAGGCAGTCAGGAAACAGTCTCCTTGTGGCTTACACAGTAAGACAAGGTAAATTAATTCTATCCAAGCTCAGGGGCATTCAAGCACAGTACCAGTTTCAAGGCTGGGCTCTTGTACTGAAACAGGCTAAGTGTTGGGGAGCCCCATCTGGACTCATGCAGGGCACCCCAGGCTTGACTTCCTACTGACTGAAGACAACCAGCATCATCACCCCTCCCCAGCTCCCACTAGTATAGGCCAAGACAAACTGGTTATATGCATCTTTTTCTTTCCACCCCATCTCACTTTTTTTATCTTGCCTCCTCGTGACGCACAGCAAGTGAAGCTAACCAGCCCCGACTATAAGGACTGCAACCGGGATGAAGTTGTGGCGGATTTTCTTAAGAGGATTGAGTGTTACCAACAGACCTACGAGCCACTGGATGATGAGCTGGATAGGTAAGGGGGGAGTTCATCTGTGGCTGTGCAGCCATGGGGGCCCTGCTCATCTGTCCGCAAGACCAAGTACTCCACTCACTGGCTGGCTTACAGTGAATTTCAACTGGTAGTAGATATAAACCTTTGGCAACAGGAGGATTTCAAACTTAGAAAAAGGCAATGGATGTACTGCATGTTGTGCAAATAAGCTCAGAAAGAACTCTGTGGCTTCAGCTACAAGAACATTATCAGATCAAGGCTCTATTTAGTCCACAATTCCATATCCAACATAGCTCCCAAAGTATCCTCACTCATCTCCTGCTATTTCATCTCCCCTCCTCTTTAACTGGCACGTATCTCCAGTTGCCAGCTCTTTCAACCCTCTTTCCTGCTGCTTTTATGCTCGCTTCCTCCCATAACAGCTTCTCGCTCTTCTCTTCTCCCCTTCCTCCTTTTCCCTTGCTCTCTAAGCAGCTCCCACAGCCACAACCACTGATACAGTCTGCATCGTGTGGCTTTGGTGCAGGATAGTCAAGCAGAGGCACCAGGCATCCTGCAGCATGGACACCCACCTCAAGGTGGGCTGAGACTCACTGGAGGGTACTGGTCCACTGTCTGAGAAGGGCTGGTCTCACATCTCCATGTCTTCTGGCATTGTACTGCATTGCATTGCATATCAGTAGTTTATTGTGCATCTCCTTTTAACCTTTTTGTTACGAAGACTAGCAGAGCTAGACTCATTTCTGTGCAATTACATAGCATAGGCAAAGCAGGAATTGAGTTATCAGGGGCTACATAATACACAGTTTTATACAGTTGTATAGAATGTCTACAACCACCAGGGAGTGAGGCTATATATCAACAGAACTGCATTTGTGCCACAAAAATTGCCATAGTGACTTCTGATGAAACATTCAACAACCAGAAGAGTAGTGAACATTCCAGCAGCCTTTTTTTCCTTTTAAGAAAAGTTCTTGCACTCACTGAAGTCACCTGAAACAATGGTTAGAAGTTTGGTAGCAAAACAAACCAAGACTCCTGTCCTGTTCTTTTCCATGGCATTCCTTGTCTTAGTAAGTCTATATGGAGCTAGATCTATCCAACCTCCCCATCCTGCACTGACCATTTCCATTCTGCAGAATTACACCATCATCTAACATATGTAAATGCAACTAGGGGTTTGAGTACACATGCTATGAAACTACATACATCTATTAGTCAACCCAGCATAAATTCTGAACGGAGACACAAAAAGGGATGCTTTCCTACCCACCACTGCTCTGCTTTAAGTCCTTCCCCAAGCAGGTCTTTTCTCCCTATTAGGATCAACACTGTTTAATCCTCTTATTTATTTATTATTTATTTATTTATTAAAACATTTTTATGCCGCCCCATTCGCTGAAGCCTCGGGGTGGCTTTTACATATTCATTCCTTCTTCTAAGGAATGAATATGTAAAAACTACAAATGGAGAAAGAATTAAGCACTGACCTAGTCTGGGTGACAGGCCACTGTACAATCTACCATTATGCATATGCAAACTCTAAATGGGCTTGTTGTGTTGTCCAAACCCAGGCAGCACAACAAGCACAACTGGGCCTGCTTTAGATTTATGCAAGGATTGCATAACCCTCAAATAATCCCTATTACTTAGGTTCAGATGATACAAGCTACAGCAGCCCCCAAAAGCTGCTTGCATATTCATAATGGGAGATGGCATATGGCAGAGCTCCTTGCAGATAATTTAACCCACAATTGGCTGTTGTATATAGCACAGTGTCCTCTTCTACCTCAGATACACTACCTAGCAGCTGCTTTTAATACCACCTTTAAATTTTGGAGTTAAAGTTCTGTTATACATCATTGCACAGAGCAAATACCTAGCTTTGATATAACAACTTTTCAATGTTAAAATTGTTTCAAACGGTCATCTTAATGATTACATTTCAATGTAATTATGCAAAAAGGAATAAACACAAGAGACTGGCTCTTACAATGCAGAATCCCAGCGTGCTCCAAAGAAAGGACAAGGGGCCATGAGGCCTGGGATCCCTTTCTCTTTTCCTCCACAGCTTATTATCCTACATCAAGATCTTCAATGTTGGCAGTCGGTACCTGGTGAACCGAGTGCAGGACCACATACAGAGCCGCACTGTCTATTATCTGATGAACATTCATGTAACACCCCGCTCCATCTACCTCAGCCGGCATGGGGAGAGCGAGCTCAACCTGCGTGGGCGCATAGGGGGTGACTCTGGACTCTCTGAGCGTGGCAAACAGGTACAGCAAAGAGAAAAACCAAAAGCGGCAGAGGTTGCAACTTACTAGAAGGGTCATCTACTCTTACCCTCTGATCAAAATACAAGGAATGCTTACTTGATGTGAATTCCTGTCCTTGGGAAAGGCAGACTCTGCCCCTTGGGACAACCCATTATGAGCCGGGAGGCAGGGCCAGCTGGAGATTTACTCATTCTCGTGAGGATCCAGCTTCTTTCAGGACTGTCCAGCCTGGCAAGCGCTCTGTAAGAGCCTGCTGATGCTAACGCAGAGAAACTTTGTCTCTCGTGGTGGGTTCTGCCAAAGTTATTCTAAAAGGTTCACTTTTAGAGCTGACTATAGATTTTTAAAAAGCAATCCCGAATGTTCCTTCATTGTTGTTAGTCGCGAAGTCGTGTCCGACCCATCGCGACCCCATGGACAACATTCCTCCAGGCCTTCCTGTCCTCCACCATCCCCGGGAGTCCACTCAAGCTCACACCAACTGCTTCAGTGACTCCATCTAACTACCTCATTCTCTGCCGTCCCCTTCTTCTTTTGCCATCTATTGCTCCCAGCATTAGGCCCTTCTCCAGGGAGTCCTTCCTTCTCATTAAGTGGCCAAAGTATTTGAGTTTCATCTTCAGTATCTGGCCTTCTAAAGAGCAGTCAGGGTTGATCTCCTCTAGAACTGACCAGTTTGATCGCCTTGCAGTCCAGGGGACTCACAGGAGTCTCCTCCAGCACCACAATGCAAAGGCCTCAATCCTTCGGCGCTCAGCCTTCCTTCTGGTCCAGCTTTCACAGCCATACATTGAACCTGGGAAAACCATACCCTTGACTATATGCATTTTTGTCGGCAGGGTGATGTCTCTGCTTTTTAGATTTGCCATAGCTTTCCTCCCAAGGAGCAAGTGTCTTTTAATTTCTTGGCTGCAGTCCCTGTCTGTGGTGATCTTGGAGCCCAGGAAAATAAAATCTGTCTCTACCTCCATTTCTTCCCCATCTATTTGCCAGGAAGTGAGAGGACCAGATGCCATGATCTTAGTTTTCTTAATGTTGAGTTTCAAGCCAACTTTTGCACTCTCCTCCTTCACCCGCATCAAGAGGCTCTTTAGTTCCTCTTCACTTTCTGCCATGAGAGTGGTATCATCTGCATATCTGAGGTTGTTGATATTTCTCCCAGCAATCTTAATTCCAACTGGTGATTCATCTAGGCCCGCCTTTCTCATGATCTGTTCTGCATATAAGTTAAATAAGCAGGGCAGCAGTATATAGCCTTGCCAAACTCCTTTCTCAATTTTGAACCAATCAGTGGTTCCGTGCCCAGTTCTCACTGTTGCTTCTTGACCCACAGATAGGTTTCTCAAGAGACAAATAAGATGGTCAGGTACTCCCATCTCTTTAAGAACTTTCCACAATTTGTTGTGATCCACACAATCAAAGGCTTTAGCATAGTCAATGAAGCAGAAGTAGATGTATTTCTGGATCTCTCTAGCTTTCTCCATGATCCAGCGTATGTTGGCAATTTGATCTCTAGTTCCTCTCCCTCTTTGAAATCCTACCTGTACTTCTGGTAGTTCTTGATCCACATACTGCTGGATCCTAGCTTGTAGGATTTTGAGCATCACTTTGCTAGCATGTGAAATGAGTGCAATGGTGTGGTAGTTTGAACATTCTTTGGCATTGCCCTTCTTTGGGATTGGAATGTAAACCGACCTTTTCCAATCCTGCAGCCACTGTCGAGTTTTCCAAATTTGCTGGCATATTAAGTGTAGCACTTTTACTGCATCGTCTTTTAAGATTTTCAATAGCTCAGCTGGAATACTGTCTCCTCCACTAGCTTTGTTGTTGCTCAGACTTCCTAAGGCCCATTTGACTTCATATTCCAGTATTTCTGGCTCGAGGTCAGTGACCACCCCATCATGGTTATCAGGGATGTTAAGCTCTTTCTTGTATAGTTCTTCTGTGTAATCTTGCCAGCTCTTCTGCATGAAACGTTCCCTTCATATCTCCAATTTTCCTGAAGAGATCTCTGGTCCTCCCTGTTCTATTGTTTTCTTCTATTTCTTCGCACTGTTTATTTAAGAAGGCATTCTTATCTCTTCTAGCTATTCTCTGGAATTCTGCATTCAGTTGGGTGTATCTTTCCTTTTCTCCCTTGCCTTTCGCTTCCCTTCTTTCCTCAGCTATTTGTAAAGCTTCCTTAGACAGCCATTTTGCTTTCTTGCATTTCTTTTTCTCTGGGATGGTTTTAGTTGCTACCTCTTGTACAATGTTGCAAACCTCCATCCACAGTTCTTCAGGCACTCTATCAGATCTAATTCCTTAAATCTATTTGTCACCTCTACTGTATATTCATCAGGGATATGATTTAGGTCATACCTGAGTGGCCAAGTGCTTTTCCCAACTTTCTTCAATTTAAGCCTCAATTTTGCAACAAGAAGCTCATGATCTGAGCCACAGTCAGCTCCTGGTCTAGTTTTTACTGACTGTATAGAGCTTCTCCATCTTTGGCTGCAGAGCACATAGTCAATCTGATTTCTGTGCTGACCGTCTGGTGATGTCCATGTGTAGAGTCATCTCTTGGGTTGTTGGAAAAGAGTGTTTGCTATGACCATCGTATTCTCTTGACAAAATTCTACCAGCCTGTGCCCTGCTTCATTTTGTACTCCAAGGCCAAACTTGCCTGTTATTCCAGTTACCTTTTGGCTTCCTACTTTAGCATTCCAATCCCCCATGATGATAAGGACATCATTTTTTGGTGTTATTTCTAGAAGGTGTTGTAGGCCTTCATAAAACCGGTCAACTTAAGCCTCTTCAGCACCAGTGGTTGGGACATAGACTTGGACTACTGTGATGTTGAAGGGGTTTTCCTTGGATTCAAACTGAGATCATTCTGTCATTTTGGCGATCGTATTCCAGTACTGCTTTTCCTACTCTTTTATTGACTATGAAGGCTGCTCCATTTCTTCTGAGGGATTCTTGCCCACAGTAGTATTCCTGATGGTCATCTGAATTAAATTCACCCATTCCTGTCCATTTTAGTTCACTGATTCCTAAGATGTCAATGTTCAGTCTTGTCATCTCTTGTTTGACCACATCCAGCTTGCCTTGATTGATCAATCATCCAGCTTGATTGATCTTACATTCCAGGTTCCTATGGAGTATAAATCTTTACAGCATCGGACTTTCCTTTCACCACCAAATACACCTGCAACTGAGTGTCCTTTCGGCTTTGACCCAGTCGCTTCATTCTTTCTGGCGCAACTAGTACTAGCCCTCTGCTCTTCCCCAGTAGCATATTGGACACTTTCTGACCTGAGGGGCTCATCTTCCAACGTCATATCTTTTTGCCTTTTGGTACTGTCCATGGGGTTTTCATGGCAAAGATACTGGAGTGGGTGGCCATTTCCTTCTCCAGTGGATCACGTTTTGTCAGAGCTCTCTGCTATGACCTGCCCGTCTTGGGTGGCCCTGCATGGCATAGCTCATAGCTTCATTGAGCTACGCAAGCCCCTTCGCCACGACAAGGCAGTGATCCATGAAGGAGAAACATAGGGAAACATAAAATGGAAGCTCCAGATTTCTCAAATGTATCCAGGAATGAGACCCTAGATGCCATAGGTATTAGTCATAGTTACAAAGAGGTTACTTCTGAAGAACAGAAGTAAGTTAAGTGATTGTAATTGCTTTAAAAAGTCTCTCCTTAAGCTCTGGATAAATATGGTCCATGGTTCAGCCAGAATTGACAGCAAGGTTCCCACCACTACTTCTTTCGTTGAATACAAAGCAGGGATTATTCATTAGCAGTAGAAAAAAAGGAGAGCATTTATTCTTGGGGCTGTGTGCTTTGTTCTCAAATAAGACTAATCACACAACCCTTTGGTTGCACTCTGACAAGATTTAAGGATCTCTAACTCATGGCAAATCTCTGGTTTCTCAACTCTTTCGCTACCCTGTGCCCTGTGTCTCTGCCTGCCAGTATGCCTGTGCCTTGGCCAACTTCATCCGTTCCCAGTGTATCAGTGACCTCAAGGTCTGGACAAGCCACATGAAACGCACGATCCAGACTGCAGAAGCACTGCACGTGCCCTATGAACAATGGAAAGCACTAAACGAGATTGACGCGGTAAGAACAACACTCTGCTTCCCAATGTGGGAGACAGATCCCAGAGGCCTGCCATTCTCTAGTCCTAGGCCACTAATCCCAAGACTGCATTCACACATAACAATAAACCATGCTACGTGGTTACCACATGGCATAGCTTCTTACCTGGCTGCTGGCTGCAGAAAATCACATGGTTTCCACCCTCCTCCATCATTCCTCCTAAAGATGGCAGATACCCTATTGGATTTCCACAACTGCCTACTGTGCCTGCCTCTCCCTCCTTAGTCCACACACTCCCCTGGGCACGCCCTCAGCCTACTACTCCTGGTTTTTTCTTCACTGCTCCACCAAAGCAATTACTTACTCACTACAGTGGTACTTCCCTGTGCTGCCAAGCTCCATACCAATGTATAAGCATATCCACCCCTCCCCCCCGCTGCAGTTGTGTCCAGGCTCCTGTGTACAGGAATCACACACACGGGAGAGGGCTGCCTCCCCACCACAGTCAGGCACATGGAAGGCATCAGCTCAGGCAGGCCATCTCCTCCCCCACCTCCATGACATGGCTGCAGCCGACCTGATCTGGTGCCCTGCACCTCTGTCCACAGAAGCCCTTCCTCCACCCCCACCCCCAGTCACATATGGAGGCAGCCCACCCCAGCATCCCTTCTGTTGTGCCCCTCACCCCTCTGCCCAGCCAGCGTTCCCACAAGAATCACACCAGTCATAAAATATGTCTTTATTCCTGCAGTATCATGGAGACTTAGGTCCAGAGGAAAGGATGGCTTGCCAGAGAGCAAGGCATGCCTTAATAAAGCTAGTCTTCTTTTCAGCTCCGTGATCTCTGCTGCCCTACAGCTGTGTGCAGAGGCTGTCCTCCATCCCCTGCAGCACCCCAGCCCATGCTACCACGCACCCTGCCACTGCCCTACTTCCACAGTGACTACACCTGACACTGCCCACTGCAGAGCTGCACAGACATGTGCCTACACATCTGCAGACTTTGCTAGTTTGCAGAAGTGTCCTAGAGGGTCTGAAAGATGCTTGTGGGGCTGTGGGGGCAGCATTTGAGCCATGGCCCCACCCACCACCCCGGCATCTCTGTTGTTTCTCTCAAGGGTTACACGGAAACCACATGCTGAGTCTCTAACAGGTTTTGCACAACATGACAAACCATGCCACAATGGCTTCCACCATGGGTTAGCGTTATGTCAGACCCCAGCCCAAATCTCTATCAAGTAGTAAGAGACACGGATTCCAGCTGCATCATTCCTTCTTTGTCCAACCCCACCCGTGAGCTCCAGGAAAGAACCGTTACCTTTCACCAACATACTAAGCTCTACTTTCTTGTTTCATGTCCAGAAGTCAAACGTTCCAATTCCTATTTTTTCAGGGTGTCTGTGAGGAGATGACATATGAAGAGATCCAAGCTAATTATCCACAAGAGTTTGCCTTACGAGACCAAGACAAATATAGGTACCGCTATCCTAAGGGAGAGGTAAGAAATGCCCAAAGTTCTGGGAACTGGTGCATTTGGTTGGGAACTGAACTGTGGGATAACTGGACACCCCCAACAGGCATGTGCACATGGTACGCATGTCATGTGGCATAGTGGTGAAGAGCACGGGACTGGGACTCAGACGACCTGGGTTCTAGTCCCCGCCCAGTCATGGAGCCAACTGGGTGCCTTTGGGCCAGTCACAGACTCTCAGCCCAACCTACCTCACAGGGTTGTTGTTGTGGGGATAAGATGGAGGAGGAGAGATGATGTAAGCTGCCTTGAGCCCTTTGTAGGAAAAAGGCAGGATATAAATCGAAAAAAAAAAATAAACAGCTGGAGCCGGGGGTCAGACTAGATGGCTCAGGCGGTCCCTTCTGACTCTGTTTCTGTTTCTATTTAACTACTGAGCTGGTTGGGAGGTGAAAATATGTAACTTATCAGAGAGGTAAGACAGAAAATTCCCCAAGAAAGAGAGCTAGGACTGAAGCCAGAAGGGCCTCTCTGAATTTCTTCATCCCTTCAAACATTCAGTCTTATGAGGATTTGGTACAGCGTTTGGAGCCTGTCATAATGGAGCTGGAGAGACAAGAGAATGTGCTGGTGATCTGCCACCAAGCGGTCATGCGCTGTCTCCTTGCCTACTTTTTGGACAAGAGTTCAGGTACTCTCTTCCCTGCTTAGCCTTCTCATTTGATAGTCTATGCACACATGCATGTCTCTGTTTGGGACCACACTCTATAGTCTGGACACACTCCTGCTATAACTCCTTTAAAGGAGGGGCCGTCCTCCTATATTCAGTTTCCTTCCCATGGCAACTACTGCTGGAAAAGAATGGAACTTCCTCTTTTACCCTGCTCCACAGAGAATTCACCCATGGGACTGGTTTTCCCATGGTCCCCAACTATCCCACCTTCTTTAGACTTCCAGTGTGGAGAAGGAATGGGGCCTGGTTCTTTTACTCGGTGCCTTTTTGTTTCATTTGCTGTTCTCTCCCCATCCAGAGGAGTTGCCGTACCTCAAGTGTCCACTGCACACTGTTCTCAAGCTCACGCCTGTGGCCTATGGTAAGTGACTGCCTTAGTTCAAGAGAACACAACACCACTTCCTCCAAGGGAGAGGCTTACTTGTGGTTTTTAAAAAAATCCTGCGGTCTGCTTCTCAGCTTTGCAAGTCCTATTTAAATAAGCAAAAGGCCTTTGCCACCACCAGTTGCTAAGACAAAATTCAAGGCCTCAGAATGAATTTAAGGTCTGGATAAATGGCAGAAACAAACAACTCAAAGTCAGCCACTTGGTTCCCAACAAGGCCAAATAACAATTCTTTTCAGACAAGTAGCTTGTCAGATACTCACACTTAGCCTGTGCACACACACACACATACACAACTTATACAGCTATGGATAGACTAAGTGTTTGACACTTCCATCTACATTCACTAATGCTGTTTGTTCTTTTGGGGGCAGGCTGTGAGGTTGAATCTATTTTTCTCAATATCGAGGCTGTGAATACACATCGGGAACGTCCACAGGTAAGCAGGATTCCTGCCATGCTGAAGAGGGTCCCTACTTGCAGCCTCTAGGTTGATCCTGTTGGGAAATGAGGGCTTTGCTTCAGGAGTACTCACAGCAAAACCTATTAGCTCCACCACCTAATACCATCTGCTGACCTCATTCTATGCAGTTGCTCCATCAGAAGAGATCATTTTGTTCAGACCCACATGAATCTCCCCCTCTCTCATCTCTTGCCACATGCTCAGCATCTTTCCCAACAAAGCTAAACAGGCCCCCATAACCACACTGTGTCAACAGCCAGCCCAGAGCCAACCTGTATTAGGCCAAATGAGAGAACCAAGGTTTCCTGTCCCCATGGCAGAGCTGAGAATCTCAGATATTCTAATTTTAATGTTTTAGCCATTTGGCCGCACTGATTTAAATGGGTGTGGATGTGACTTAAGATTTCTCACTAACCATTTCTGTAAGCCATATCTGGAGCCATCTGAGACTCGATTTCCCTTCTCTCATTGTAGAATGTCGATGTGACAAGAGATCCCAAGGAGGCCCTAGGTACAGTGCCAGACCATTACTGACCATACTGCATATTAAAAGAATCCTACCTTCTCAACTTGTCTGCTCCCCACTCCTGAACGAGAAAACATGAGAAAAAAGGAAATCGTCCATTCTGCAAGGGACTTGCTTATCCTCATGCAGGTATCTGGAGAAATGACATTGGGTATGGGGGCTCTGAGCCATCTTATGATGCCTGCCTTTATACATACAAGTAGATCTCTCCAACAGAACATGGCATAGAACATGGAAAGCCAGTGTGGTGTAGGGGTTAAGAGTGCAGGACTGGGACTCAGGCGATCTGGGTTCTTGTCCCAGCTCAGCCATGGAGCCAACTGAGTGACTTTGGACCAGTCACAGACTCTCAACCCAACCTACCTCACAGGGTTGTTACTGTAGGCATAAGATTGAGAACAGCAGGAGGAGAATGATGGAAGCCACTTTGAGTTCTTTGTAAGAAAAAAAGCAGGATATAAATCCAATAAATAAATAAAGGCCTTTATAAGTGCTTTTTAAGCCTGCTTGCTTTCAACAGGAGAGCATTAAGCATCTACTTACATTTTATTGAAATCAACAGAATATAAACATACGTAACTTTGGACAGATTGTACCCCTTATTTTTATTTACTTTTAATGAAAATACATGTTCTGTACAATATGTATTATCCATACTGATATGGCAGATAAATACAAAAAAACCTATATTTAAATACTACATCTCCATTAGGTTCTTATTCTTCTCAACAGTATCAAACCATCCAACAAGAAATCTATGTTTAACTTGTCCAATGAACACTCACATGGCTTACCAATACATCTTTTCTGAGTGACAGAGACAGCCTTGAACTATTCTGTAACCTCTTCTCCTGTGGTAGAGGGAATCCTAGCAAGATGCACAGAGCACTTTACATGAAGTCAATCTCCTATGAAGTGAAATCAAGAACCCTCTCCCAGCAACAGGCACAGGCTGTAAACCCAGTTCAACTAAGTTTTTATGGCTCCTAGCCACATAATGGCTACTTGTTTACTGCAGCATCAGCCTCTGCTTCCGCTTCATTGTACTGACTCATCCAAAATGTGGGGTTCTTGTTTTGTATCTAATGAAGAAAAATGAGATGAGTCCCATTAGGAAAGCACACAGTGAAAAGATATGACATAAGCCACGATCCTTGTAATGATGGCCTCCAACTTAGTGGATGAGAGACAGGAGAAAGCGAATGCACAAAATCCACATGTATGATGTGTGCCTATGTTGTTGCTATAGCACTTTAGGACTGCAAAGTGTTGTGTCCTAAGAACTGCTGGGTTTGTTTCAGCAAATTACTAGCTCCTAATTGCTCAGAAATCTTTAAGCAAGTTGCTAGTCCCTATGACCGCAGAAACTGCACAGGATGTCTAGAACAAGCTTAGAAATTAGAATCTGGCAGTTCTCAAAATTGCATACTTAATGATGCCCCTATGGCCACAGTCCATATATCCCCAACTTTCATCACTTTCCCTCCATCTACTCCTATATTCCATCAAAACATACACTAATCTCTCAAAAGGATGGATCAGCACACATTTCTTCAATATATCCCAGTCCCAGAATCTGTGTTTCTGGAGGGAGGATGGTTGATGCATAGTTTGGGACTCCTATATGCACTAACTGGCTAAGGTCGTTGGTAAAGCCATGAAGCAAACTCTGCCAGGCACTAGGGCTTCTTGATGGGAATAACCGGTGGCACATCTAGCCTCAAGGTCAAATCTTTCCTTCAACTACCAATGTCTTGTATTAGGTGGCCAGTACCTTAGCAACAAACTGTAGAATCTGCTTCTTTGAAGTCTCTTTTGTGGCTCGTGGTCCCCATTTGAATTCAAACTCACGTGGGTCTGTGTGTGGGATGCGAGTATATTCCAGGTACCTTGAAAGTGAAGAATAAGTAATTGCTACCACAATTCTTTTAAGAAGAAGCCATCATCCACACAAGAGAACTGAAGCAGAAAGGTTAAATACTAGAGTATCTATATTCTCACTGAAAGCCAGGACAGAGAAAATGAACCTGTGAGCCCTTCATGCCTATGGGCTGTCATCATGCATTTTCAAGGAACAGTTTCTGCCACGACCACATAGGGCATGCCAGGGATTTCAACCAGCAATTGCTAGCACTAGCATACAAGGAATTCAGTGAACCACTGCTGCAATCACATGTTGATCTAAAGAGTTCAGCTGTACACTACAAGTTGAAGAACCCACTTTTTTCTGCTTTTAGCAAAACAGGAAAGCATTTTAGATCGTTTGGTTCCTGAAGAAGCGTAAAGGGAAAAGGACAAGGGATTCCCAATAGCCTATAATCCAGAGATGGGGAGCCTTGGGACCATGGGCCAGACACAACCTGCAGGGTTTTCTGGCTTCTACTCCAAACTCCACTCCCTCCCACAGGCCCAGACCCCCAGTTCCTCCTATCCCCTCGATGTGAAAATCTTACTGCTGAACAAAACTGAAGAATTTTCCTCTTTTCCTCTCCACACCCACTACCACCACATGCCACATTAAGGCTGTTCTAATTACAGTGAAAGGGGCTTCTAGTTTTGCCCTCCCCAATGCTGTGAGACCCCTTCCAAAAATCACCCCCCCATACTACAATCAGGCTTTTTAAAAGCCCCCACTTTGTGTATGCGCATGCGTGTGTGAGAGCACGTGTACATGCGCAAGTGAGAATCTATAGTCCCACCCACCAGAATGCCACCCCAAGAGTTTTTTTTCCCAAAATTGAATCTGATCCTTGGGCTGAAACAGGTTTTTCTAATCAGAACCCCCTTCTCTAATGGACATCTGTGCTCTTTATTAGCTAAGATAAAACGGGAGATAAAGTGCCAACAGTGAATGTTGGCTTTGCTTATCCCAACATTCCCAAATCAATATAACCCACTGTTCCAGAGCTTAAAAACATGGATGGATTTGTAAATCCTAACTTACTTTTGCCTAACAAATTCTTCTGTCACTAGTTTCTTCACATCCCCAAAGATACTGTGTTTTTCCCTGGGAGGAAGAGAAAACAGGACACCATCAGGGTAAAGGTAAAGGGTTCCCCATGACATTAAAGTCCAGTCATGTCTGACTTGTGAGGGCAGTGCTCATCTCCATTTCCTAGCCGAGGGTGCCAGCATTTGTCCGCAGACAGTTTCCATGGTCATGTGGCCGGCATGTCTAAACACCGAAGTGCACGGAACGCTGTTACCTCCCCATGGTACACAGTATCAAAAGAGCAAGGAGTTATTTGCTTCCCCAGTCTCCTAAAATGATTCCACACACCACAACCATACCCAGAGCAGTCAACTCGGAGTCTCCTCAGCATCTCCCAAACAGCAGCTGGATGGAAAGAAAACAAGAAATACAGGTTGGTAAGGGAGGCTAGCAAGGAAATGGTGTGAACAGTGGGAGTGAAACTTACATTCTTTGGCCACATTGCCTTTCATGTAGATGAGGCTGAGAATGACTATGAGGAGGCCAAGCTTGGGACTGTTCTCATTTCTGCAAAAGAAGAAGAGAATCAGCCTCCTCATTTGGAAACAGACAGTGTGGCTTTGCTAGCAAAACAGAAGCCCCAGCTCTCTGGCAAGAAGCAAGTCTCTTTTAGTTCTAGTCTTGGCTAATATGCTTCATGCAAGGAAGTAGCAGCACTGGAATGAGAGATTCTAGGACAGGATCTTACCATGGTTGGCCTTGTGCTCACCTCTGCCCCTTTCAAAATCGTCTCAGAAGACAGGACAGAGGCTACTGTACTTGCAAAACTAGTGCTGCAAGGGAACAGCACAGCTGTGTGTGCTAGTACTACCTTATCTGCCTTGCTTTAACTACAGTTATGACTGGCCACACATTTTGGCTAGCCTTTATAACTATCTAAAATGTATGGCCACTGAGACCTTGCCCCTTCCTTCAGTAGAGAACAGTGGGGAACAAAACCGTGTCCTTGCCCACTGGGGGAGAGGCAGAGCCCTGTGACCAAAGTTTCTCTTTGTCCTCTTTGTCCATTGCTCTTGAATCAACCAATCCCCTCAGGAGGAAAGATGGTGCTTGTCCAAAGCACAATGCAACATGGAAGAGCCCCATCCTTCCTCCCAACTTTGCAAGGACACAGGAGTTCAGCTCAGACTTTCCAAGTGTGACAAGAACCAAGCTCCAGCCTTCAGATGAAAAAGTTCACATTTCTTATACCATACATTTGGAGATTAAGGGGGAGAGAGCAGGAAAAGACTTTGAATATTCTTCATGCAAGATTCATTTCAGTTTTGGCTAGGACTGCCATGGCAGAACTAGGATTGGCCTGCCTTATCTCTTTTCCTTACTCAGTCATGATTCCTCCTTCCAATGGTGGCAATTTACTGATTAGGATGTAGGTGTGATTCTTTGGATCAAGTTTCACAAGTTCCAGTCCAAATACCTGAGAAAGCAGGGGGAAAAAATCAGAACAGCATCTGAAAGGGCCCTTCATTAATCCAATCCTCCTGCTATTTAAATGATACATTGTACCCAAGCATAGATAAATCAACCATTTCTGTTTCAGGAATAAATTATCTTCTTCATGGAGAATCCAAAGAATTCAGATTGTTGGATATGAAATTTTGACTTACAGTAAAATAGCAACTCTGATTGTGGCTCTAGATTAGCACACTTAAGACTGCAATTACCTTGGGAGAAATCCCCACTGAATGCAGGGGTACTTAATTCTGACTCAACATGTAGGGGACTGCACTATTAATACATTACACCAGCCTTCAACCTGGTGTCCTCCACAGGTTTGCGGTTTCTATTCTATTCAGCCCTAGCCAGTATGGCCAAGTATCAGGAATGCTGGGACTTGCAGACAAAAACCTCTGGAGGGTACCAAGCAGGGTTAAGTATTTTTTTATGAATTCAAGTTGTATGCTGCCCAACTAGAAAGTGCCCTCAGAGTACTTTACAAATCAATTAGAGGATCAAGAAATAGACAGACATATTAACAGGAGCTTAGCAGACAATGTATGCAAAACTGGCTATTCTTCCCATTCAAGTAAGGCAAGTGCCAGTCAGTCAAACTTAGTGCAAGCACAAAGCACGTTCTGCCATGTTCCTAGCTTTTTCATGGTCTGTTATTAACCGAACATTGTAGCAATATGGGGAGGACTTCACCATATACTGTAGTACCCCTCCCTGCACAGTCATTCTTCAGCTTGGCCTCAACAGAAACCATGAGTAAAACGTATGGATGGAGCCCCACGTTTCATTAATCATTCATTCATTCATTCATACATGGATTCCTTCCTCACCTGCTGAAGGGTCTCATTGGCATGTTGGAGAATTTCAAAAAAATTATCTTTGTAGTCTTTGATGACATATTTCAGGATATCTGTAAGAACATGTGCAAGTAGTTAAAAAGGGACTCTCATACTGGATAATCATGCATATCACACACATATGCAAAATTTTGTGGAAAGTTTCTGCACTTAAGTATGAAGACCAAATAAATATATAGGTACTTGACCAAAGGTAAACTTCAAGCACTCGTGGTAACAGACTTGGAAAGTACATGAATTATGTTTGGTAAGTGATCCAAAACCAGGGTAAAGTAAGCAAATCTTCCAGCAGGTATGCAAGCATACAACATATCCTGTTTTCCTTTGCTGGGTATTATCCTTATGCCTACCCAAGTAACCTAAACTCATCTCTTTGACTTTCTGTCCTGCCATTCTCTATAGTCACGCAAATCTTTGTCAAAAGATCGCAAATGCTGAACAATGGAATCTTGGGAGTAAGTTTATGAAAAAATGTAAATTTGCGTCATCAAACACTAGAAAGAAAATTTAGGTCTCTCTGGTGCAAAAGAACAGAACAGAACAGAAATAAATCACTTCTTACCTGAACGTTTAATAGGAATCTTCTTTTGGTCTTTAATCAGCAGAAACTGTACCAGTTCATTCCCCTGTAGAGAGAACACAACATAGACACGGTGGTACATAAGCCACAATCCCGAGGCTACAGAATTCATCTTCCTGAGAATTCCAGCTATCTTCTTTTCTTTCTTTTTAATCAAAAAGCATTTATCTAGCATTATGATTCCAATGGTACACTTAAAAGTGCACAACTAACACCAGGGGAAATATCAGAAGCCAGAAGGATGCAGAAAAAAAAATTCAGTATCGTGGGACAGAGCTTCTGTGTCCTTACTCCTCATATCACCCAAACAATAACAACAGCAAAAACCTAGAATAAATAATACAGCTTGTTTAATTTTCCTGATTTGTACGAGTTACAACTGCCATTTTTCTTAGAATATTTTTAAAGCAAAGTCCACAGTCCTGCCTATAGACAGTTCTGATAGGAAGGCCCCAAAGAGGCACAGATGATGGCAGCAAAGGCTCTCCTACTTTGTGTTGCACTTGACTCTGCGAGCGCTGCCCCAAGCTCCGTCGCATCTGTCTGGGTGTCTGAGTCAACGTGTTTTCTTCATCTACATCCATGGACTGTGTCTGAGGAAGAGAAGAGAAGAGGATTCAGAAAAACTCGTTTTGGGATCCAGCAGTGGGGTTCATACATACTTGTTAACTCTGGAGCTTTATGCTCTTAGAATTAATCAGAGTCTTCATCTGAGGTTGCTTTTGTTTGTTCATTTTCTTTCACTTGATTAAAAATCTTACTCCTTTTTCCTCAACCTTGTGAAGGGCAGCCATTGGAGGTGTAATCTGCAGTAAACTTAAGTCACTAGTGCTGGAACAAGTATATGAAGAGACTATTAACTCTTTTTAAATGGCCAGAGAGATTGGCTATTGGGAAGTATAAAAATGAAATATATACATATGTACATATCTGAACTGCATGCATATACATTACATTTAGACAGTTGCTTCATCAAACTCCACATAAATCCTGAAGAAAGTGTCTCCCATATTATTTATTCACAGGATTTCAATTCAACAAACATTTCTAAGATGCTGTACAATAAAAAAAAATAAAACCATGAAACAAGATATTGTAAAACACAGAGGTCTTCACAGAGTTGCACTGCCCCAAAAACTGCGGGAGGTGCACCCTATGGAGACACAGGTGGTGACAGTAGCTGGAACAGCCCTTTTCCGTTTTAGGCTGACTTGCCAGCTGCAACTCAGTATCTGAAAGAAGCAGACCTGCATTCAGATTACTATGAGTCTCTCTAGGTAGGGCTGTCTGTAGACAGTTCGAAAACTGATTCACAATACCAGGGAGTACTGATGGAGGCCAAACATACTGCTCATACTGCATCAAAACTGGGCCACTAGTACTGTCTGCCCATCGCTTTCTAGGCTCAATTTAAAGCTTTGGACCTTAAAAGCCCTTAATGACTTTGAACTAGATTATCTGCTTGGACCAAAAGGAAGCTGCCTAGGTGCTGAGACTGGCCTTGAAATACTCTCTAGCCCACCATCAAGATCCATCAGATTGGCAGGTACCGGAGACATGGCTTTTTAAATGAAGGCCCACTTCACTGGAATTTTCTCTTCAAAATCATACATATGTCCCTTTCTGCAACTAGTTTTTTTGTTGTCCAGCTTTAGATTGATTTATGTGGGTTGGGTTTTTTTTTTTTTTGCTATTGCTGTTTGAGGGTTTTACTTGGTGTTAGCTGTACTTTTTAATTGTATATTTTACTGTTTTCTTAATTCAGTAAGGCTCCAAACCTATGGCCTCCCACTGTTGTCTGTGGAGGCCATAGGATCGCCTGGAGTCCTCGCTCCAAGGTCCTGCAATTTCAGAGCTGGGACTTCAAAGGCCAAGCCCTTGCTTCACCATGGCACAGCTGGGGCAGAAAGACCCACAATGGTGGCCTATCCTGAGGATGCAAAGGCATCTTGGAGGGAAGAAAAAGGGGCATGCTGGGAGGCAGGAAAGGAAGATGAAGTTTATTGTCACTGATGTATGTGAAATCCTATCAGCACTTGATCTAGACAGCTAAAAACAACCACCTAGATAAAAATGAGGGTATGAGGTACAGCCATGGCGGCAATCGCCACCAGCGCGCCTCATTTGAGGCACAGGGCACTTGTATGCTTCTGAGTTCAAGCCTCTGCATCAAAGGAGGGAGTAACAGGATTGTCCTGGGAGAGTTTTGCCCAGAAAAGAAGGATATAAATGTTTTATGCATTAAATAAAGTATCACAGAGCAAAATTATGTAAGAAAAACATAGTGGATAAAACCACAAGGCAGCAAAAACACTTTTAGGAAACTCATCTTCCAATGACGTGACAGAAACCAAATGTCTCAAGCTGCCTTCAAGAAGGTGGCAAAGGTGGAGCTCAGAGAACATTGCAAAGGCCCTGTGCCTTTCAGTAGTCAACCTTGTTTCCAAATAAGCTGGTATTTTCAACAGGAGCTTGCTGAGACATGCTACTCTCTGGGTGGGGAGCGTTCATGCAGACAAAAACATGTTTCCTGAGATTATCGGGACCCATTTTATTTAGAGCTTTATTTAGCAAAATCAGCACTTTGAACATGGGAACTGGAAAACACAGATCATAATTTTACAAAGTAATAAACCAGGATTTGGCGAATTCTGACTTACTGTTCACAAGCAAAGTGCAGGTGCACAATAGCCAGTCATTCCCATTTGGTTCCTTTCACCAACAGTTGGGCTAATCTAATTACAAAAAGCTTAGTGTTGTATTCAGACAAGTACTCCTGGCTTGTCAATCTCAAACAACCAGGAACCATAAATGAAGAAAAAAGATCTCCTTTGCTGTGGGAGTGTCATATCAGAAGTATAGCTCAGATATGATCCTCTGGATAATTTTCTGCTTAGATTAGTGTAACCACCCCTACTGTCAAGAGGAAGCAACTGGGCAGCATATACCACCATGCTGCAAGCAAATAATAAAATAGGATTCTCAGAAGTTCTAGTTTATTGTTGTGTGCAAGTGGGGCCAAATATATCCATATCATATCTAATGTGTGAAACAAAACACAAGTATGCATTTCAAAGAGTTAAGTGGTTGAAAATGTGTACGTACTTCAAGGTACTAGAGTTATTTTCATACTAATGTATCACACCAGACTACATAAAAATTGAGTTTGAACAAGTCATTGGGCTGTGAATTCTTAAGACATTGTCTCTTCTGTTCCAGGGATAGGATAAGCTTTATGTTAAACATATAACAAACCCAGGAAATTCACGTACCTGAGAAGGGCCTGGTCCTTTGCTACTACGCCTGTTTTGGGACATCTCTTTGAAAATACCTGTGAAAGACAGGAAAAGTAAGCTATAGCAGGTGTCTTGCTACTGGTGGAGTGACTTACATTCCTGTCTCCCCAACTGTTGTCACCAATACCTACTCCAATTCTTCTGCACCCAGGCAGATTCCAGTGCAGATTCTGCATTCACAACTACACTAACCAGAATCTAAGTTTCTCAGACTGTTACCCACCCCTGTGCCCACAAAGCTCCTCAAGTCGTTATCAGTCATATGACAGGCAGAAATTCAGCACACAGTGCATATTCCAGCATGATGGAGGAAAGCAGTGCCCACTGAATTTCTGAGAGGAGCTCTGTATAAAAATAAAGTAGCAAGCCACCTACTTTGGAATTCCTGCAGCCCACACCTCTGGGGCTTCACATGTACATGTGCACATGGCCTTTTGGTTATTATTTACATATCACTTTCCATTTTAAAAATCCCAAGGTGGATCCCAAGCACAACAAACTGTAGGCAGGTTAATAGTTGGGAAAAGCTAGGATAAACAAGTATATTTTACAGGCACATCTTAATGCAGGTCCTGTCTGCAAAATTATGGGGAAGCTTCACCTGTTGCATTTCTACCCAGGAGTCTGTCTTCCATCCTCTCCATTAAGAAACTCAAATAACTGAGTGTTGGCCCGGTCAGTTCCCACCTCGGCCATGAAGCTCGCCGGGCGACTTTGGAGCACTCTCTGACTCTCAGCCCAACCTACCCCGCAAGGTTGTTGTGAAGACAAAACGAAATGGATTGGAGGCGGACTATGTAAGCCTCTTTTCAAGAAAGGTACGACGTACATATAATAAATAAGCAAGAAACTTTTGCGCATGTGTTTGGATACCTCCGAAATCCGCTTCGGGATGTAGTGAAAGGGAAACCGCCTGTAAAAATTGATAAAGATAATTATTATGCCTCACCCACCCTCCCGTCAGGCCAACTTTAGGCATCTCTCCCCCATCCCCTCAAAAACACTAAAAAAACCCCCGTTCACCTCCTCCCCAGTTGCCAGTGAGCGGCGCGCCGCCACCGCCTGCGCATGCGCGTGCACCTTCTCTTCCGCCGGGTCACGGATCTTCGTGTTGCGCATGCTCTATCCTTTGCAAGGAATGCAGCTTATTGTTGTGCCTGCTTCTCTGTCCATCGGCTGCTTGCTCTCACCGAGCAGAGAGCAGGGAATGCAGACCTCAAGAAAAGAAGGGTGAAGGGGGGGGGGGTTCTTGACCCACACCAAAAAAGCCCGTGCGGGGCTTGCTATGGCCCATTCAGAAAGCACGAATATACACACACCCCTACCCAGCAATGGCATCACAGCAACGTAGGACAATCCTTGCTTGCACTTTTTAGTCTTTGCTCTGGAAAGAGGGGACTTTAGCAGGTGCAACCTGAAGAAAGCTGCGTCTCCCGAAATTTAAGCTAAAGACAAGGAAATACATCACTATATGCATATTTTCCAAAAAGTGTGTTCTGTTTTAGCTGATTTACTGAATCCTATCCATGTTTGCTTGTAAGTACATCTAACGCCTAATGGGAATTGGGGCGCAATCCTGTTCAGACGTGAGTCCCATCGACTCCATTGGGGCTTTCCCCCTAATGTATTTAAGACTGTGTACTTAACTGTCCGATCCTGTACGTGTTTATTGGAGAAGGAAATGGCAACCCACTCCAGTATCTTTGCCATGAAAACTCCATGGACAGTACCAAAAGGCAAAAAGATATGACGCCGGAAGATGAGCCCCTCAGGTCAGAAGGTGTCCAATATGCTACTGGGGAAGAGTGGAGGGCTAGTACTAGTAGCGCCAGAAAGAATGAAGCGACTGGGTCAAAGACGAAAGGACACTCAGTTGCAGATGTATTTGGTGGTGAAAGGAAAGTCCGATGCTTCAAAGATCTATACTCCATGGGAACTTGGAATGTAAGATCCATGAATCAAGGCAAGCTGGATGTGGTCAAACGAGATGACAAGACTAGGATACAATCGCCAAAATGACAGAATGATCTCAGTTCGAATCCAAGGCAAACCATTCAACATCACAATAGTCCAAGTCTATGCCCCAACCACTGGTGGTGAAGAGGTTGAAGTTGACCAGTTCTATGAAGGCCTACAACACCTTCTAGAATTAAAACCTATGTGCTCTGCAGCCAAAGATGGAGAAGCTCTATACAGTCAGTAAAAACTAGACCAGGAGCTGACTGTGGCTCAGATCATGAGCTTCTTGTTGCAAAATTTAGACTTAAATTGAAGAAAGTAGGGGAAAGCATTAGGCCACTCAGGTATGACCTAAATCATATTCCTGATGAATATACAGTAGAGGTGACAAATAGATTTAAGGAATTAGATCTGATAGAGTGCCTGAAGAACTATGGATGGAGGTTTGCAACATTGTACAAGAGATAGCAACTAAAACCATCCCAGAGAAAAAGAAATGCAAGAAAGCAAAATGGCTGTCTAAGGAAGCTTTACAAATAGCTGAGGAAAGAAGGGAAGCGAAAGGCAAGGGAGAAAAGGAAAGATACACCCAATTGAATGCAGAATTCCAGAGAATAGCTAGAAAAGATAAGAATGCCTTCTTAAATGAACAGTGCAAAGAAATAAAAGAAAACAATAGAACAGGGAGGACCAGAGATCTCTTCAGGAAAATTGGAGATATGAAGGGAACGTTTCATGCAGAAGAGGTGGCAGGATTACACAGAAGAACTATACAAGAAAGAGCTTAACATCCCTGATAACCACGATGGGGTGGTCACTGACCTCGAGCCAGACATACTGGAATGTGAAGTCAAATGGGCCTTAGGAAGTCTGAGCAACAACAAAGCTAGTGGAGGAGACAGTATTCCAGCTGAGCTATTGAAAATCTTAAAAGACGATGCGATGCAGTACAAGTGCTACACTCAATATGCCAGCAAATTTGGAAAACTCAACAGTAGCTGCAGGATTGGAAAAGGTCAGTTTACATTCTGATCCCAAAGAAGGGCAATGCCAAAGAATGTTTAAACTACGGCACCATTGCACTCATTTCACATGCTAGCAAAGTGATGCTCAAAATCCTACAAGCTAGGATCCAGCAGTATGTGGATCAAGAACTACCAGAAGTACAGGCAGGATTTCAAAGAGGGAGAGGAACTAGAGATCAAATTGCCAACATAGGCTGGATCATGGAGAAAGCTAAGGAGTTCCAGAAATACATCTACTTCTGCTTCATTGACTATGCTAAAGCCTTTGATTGTGTGGATCACAACAAATTGTGGCAAGTTCTTAATGAGATGGGAGTACCTGACCATCTTATTTGTCTCTTGAGAAACCTATCTGTGGGTCAGGACGCAACAGTGAGAACTGGGCATGGAACCACTGATTGGTTCAAAATTGAGAAAGGAGTTCAGCAAGGCTGTATACTGTTGCCCTGCTTATTTAACTTATATGCAGAACAGATCATGAGAAAGGCGGGCCTAGATGAATCACCAGTTGGAATTAAGATTGCTGGGAGAAATATCAACAACCTCAGATATGCAGATGATACCACTCTCATGGCAGAAAGTGAAGAGGAACTAAAGAGCCTCTAGATGTGGGTGAAGGAGGAGAGAGCAAAAGTTGGCTTGAAACTCAACATTAAGAAAACTCAGATCCTGGCATCCGGTCCTCTCATGTCCTGGCAAATAGATGAGGAAGAAATGACAGATTTTATTTTCCTGGGCTCCAAGATCACCGCAGATGGGAACTGCAGCCAAGAAATTAAAAGACACTTGCTCCTGGGGAGGAAAGCTATGGCAAATCTAGACAGCACACTAAAAAACAGAGACATCACACTGCCAACAGAAGTGCGTATAGTCAAGGCTATGGTTTTCCCAGTTGCAATGTATGGCTGTGAAAGCTGGACCATAAGGAAGGCTGAGCGCCGAAGGATTGAGGCCTTTGAATTGTGGTGCTGGAGGAAACTCCTGTGAGTCCCTTGGACCGCAAAGCAATCAAACCGGTCAGTCCTAGAGGAGATCAACCCTGACTGCTGTATAGAAGGCCAGATCCTGAAGATGAAACTCAAATACTTTGGCCACCTAATGAGAAGGAAGGACTCCCTGGAGAAGAGCTTAATGCTGGGAATACTAGATGGCAAAAGAAGGAGGGGACTGCAGAGGATGAGGTGGCTAGATGGAGTCACTGAAGCAGTTGGTGTGAGCTTGAGTGGACTCCGGGGGATGGTGGAGGACAGGAAGGCCTGGAGGAATGTTGACCATGGGGTTGCGATGGATCGGACACGACATCGCGACTAACAACAACAACTTAACTGTCCGATCCTATATGTGTTTATTGGAAGTAAGTCTTAGTTCAATGGGGTTCACACCCATGAAAGTATACAGAAGAAAGATGGGCAATTTACCAGTGACAATACGTTGTTACTTTTGAGCACCAGTCGGAGACTCTCACTTTCTTCCCTCTTCTCCCTTTCCCTCATTTTCTCTTGGGTTTTGGTGTTGTCCCTCTATTTCCTTGGCTTTTTCTCGTTTACAGAAAACTGTATTAAGGGAGAGGAGTCCTTTCAGATCTGGTAAATTTCAACAGACCATCTGAGCGTGGTCTGGCACCCTCAGCCAGGAAATTCTTAACATGAGCACACACACCTGAATTCTTTGAAAATACCTAAGCCATTGTCTCGCTAGTAGAATAGCTCTCTATCTATCTGATCCAACTTTGATGCTATTTTCTGGAATCAAGGAAGTAGGAATTAATCCTTGAAAGGTGTATTAAAAATATTTTTACACCAGGCTACAACCCTCTCTGCCCTCAGACTTAGGATCTTAAAGGCATGATCCAAGGGAAAGGGCAGAAGAACACAGACACTAGTTCTTAGTTGCAACCCCCAGTGCATACAAAAAATTGCTTGATTATATAAATTAACAAATTATATCAATTGAAGGACCACAACTACCAGATGGACAAGAATTGAATGAAAACAAACAAAACTTCACTGTACTGAAGTATATTAAAAGTGCAACATTGCAAGAAGAAAATAAGCATGTACAGAGCTAACTTTAATTAAAATTCCAGTTAATTCTAATGAAATTACCATGATGGTGTAAAAACACTTTTCACTACAGTGCCCTGCAGTGCCCTGCAAACTGCATTCACATTTGTAAAAACCCATCTCAGGCCTCAGGCCTCTGAAAATTCAACACACAGTACATTGTAGAGTTTGGCCAAACAAGCCATGTGCATTATTGATCATGGTTTGTTATTTTCTCTGGGTTCAGACAAAATGATAACTCACATTTCCACAGCAATCCACAGTTGAATAAGTGTGAATTACTGTGTCATCTAAACCCAGTCTATGTAATATCATAGAAATAAATAGTTGTGCATATATATCTAATTTATTTTATTTATAACTAATATGAAAATTGCTAAGGAAATCCAATACAGATGTATTACTGACAATGTAAATCTGGCAGGGAGCATTATGCTAACAGATGGGTTTTATACAAATTAATTAAATACATAAATAAAAAGAATTGTCTGCATCCTGCTTGTGGATTTCCCACAGACCTTTGGTTGTGGCCATTGTGTGAGCAGAATGTTGGATTTGATAGACCTTCTCGCCTCATCCAGCACAGCGCTTCTTATGTTCTTAATGTTTCTGTATGTGACTTGGGAAGACAACCCTGACTGGTACTACAAAAAGTGTCTAAGAACTCCTGGAAAACTCCTC